CCGCTCTTAGCAGTGCCACGAGGCATGTTAACGGTCGAAGTGGAGACCTTGACGAAGAGCGCACAGGTTGCTGCTCGAGGCTCTAACTGTAAAGTGAGCCTCCGCCGCGCTCGCGCGGCCGAGTCGATGGTTTTCGACTTTGAGAATGAGAGTTTGTGACGAACATCTCTTCATTCTGATTGGTCGGTAAACCGAACCTAAGTGGGGGAGGATGTAACGGGGTACGTAGCACTAAGTGTACCCTGGTTACATGAAGTGTGACACTTCACACTTCAGGAGTATGACATGTCATACTCCGGGATATTTGGTACAAGGTACCAAGGTCATTCAAAACCAACCATTGGTTAAATGACATTGCATTTCTATAGGTAACTGATAGTTTGTATTAACCACAAACTTAACCTACCTATAAATATACTCAGTTTACAATCTACCTTATTTAGGTCACTTCGCTCTCTTTAATTAAAGAGGGGACCAGTGAACTGCCGTTCACTGAGAGTTTGTATACTCTCGGAAGATAACTTCCTCTAGCGCAAGGTGCTGTGTGACCCCGTCACAAGGGTGGAGGTGTTCCACATACGGCGATTAGCACGAAGAAACATGGCCGTTTCAAAATTAGCTGGTAAAGTAGATGAACGTAGCGATGTAAAAACAAGCTTACACTCAGAGAAAAGTCTCTCGCACGTGTTGCTTGTCGGAGGAGCGCAGAGCAGGAGAGGATCATACTCGACAGACGCCTGCGATGCAAGCCGCGGCTTCTTGGCTTGCCGGAGGATGGAGGTCGCGAAGTCCGCCGCAGTCGGCACTTCCTCTTGTGCGGTAGACGGAGATAAAATAAAACTGTCGACTGCATGTAAATCATCCGCGGAGAGGGGTAGGTCGTTTTGCAGCTTCACTATTGCAGACTCGAAATGGGGCGAGTGAACAATCTCAGCTGTTGGCGCTAAGTAGTTAGCCATGACAGGATACTTAGCAGCACACGCATCAAACAACAGGCGCACCTCGGCAAGCGTGCATGAATCCGCTTGGATTTTCACACACACACTGTCCAGCTCACGAAGCTTGTCCAATACACCTCTAACGCGGCGGTGCGCATGTCCACGAGGCACAAACTCTTCAACAGCCTCCACCGTCAGGATCGCATCACGGATCTTGCAATATCGGTCAATCATCTGGAATGTAGACGACCAGCGCGTAGTGTTTGCCTTAACAGGCTTGTAGTTGGTCGCCTTTGCCAGTGCAGTAGCATTTTTGACATGACGCAGCTGAATCATCAGGTTTTGAATCAGATCTATCTGAGTCTGATAATCCTGTAGAAATCGATTAACCGCGAGGTTAAATCGATGACTTGCACAGCCAATGAGGGGGACGCCCATTCGTGTAGCCATACTCTGATTGGTTGCACAATTGTCCCCCACAACATAGCAAATCAGTGAACTTTATATCTGGTCTCAGTAAAAAAGTCGAGCGGTCGTGCACGATAATGACGGATCCACAGCTCGTGCATGTTCGCAAGTACTATTTAATACGGGCCCAGTGGGTACAGCTGGATAACATATTCTTTGTCTTAGTAAGGTCAGATTTGATGAAGAAAGTAGGCTGCTTAAATCGGCGCAGCTTCTGGGCTACACTCCGCATTAAATGCCGTCCTTGGCGCAGGTCACATTTCTGGCGCGTTGGTAGTGCCGTCAGTTAGAAGTAGAGACTCGCTAGTTTTAAAGTTTCCTTCCAAGATTTCACTAGAATTGATCAATTCCAAACTTTTTTGTGTAAGCCAAGCACATTGGTTAATGCATGTATATTACCATACTTATCGGTTCGAACGACACACTTGAAGTGTGTAAGAAACCTAATAATGTTACGCAAAATAAATTACCGGGTTTTAATTCATGGAAAATCATATCACTGTCTGATCCATCCTTCTGAAATAAATTTTAGAGAATAAATGCGGTAGAAAAATGCCACGGTAATTTATTTTTTAGTTATATCTTTTGAAGCACTGCTGCGAATTGTCCCAAGGTAAAGTAATTGGTCCCTTTGGCGCCCAAAACTTGGCTATGGCATACATGTAGCGTCATTTCAGCCTCTAAGAGCCCCATTCGCGCTGGGCAAGCCTCGTTTTTTGCGTCGTCTTCACAGCGATCGGCAACTGAAGACTCTTCATGATCTGCGTTGGAAAAACTCTTACTTCCGTGAACACAGAGCATGGCATTCGACGTACGGAATAAAAGCCATCACTACTGTACATGCACGTACATTATGGCAGTAACCTGCGAGAGCCGTACGAATGAGGCAATGGCAAAGCTTCAATTTATGTAAAAGCGGGAAGCTGTCCAACGCTGGATTGTGATACAATTTTTGTGATCGTTTGATTGTTTCTGAGTGAACTTGCAGGTTACGACTCGCAGCTCCTTTTTGTCTTCGAGGTCAACATAGTGTGCACACCTTCGCTATGCGCCTTTTGCGGGTGCTTCGACAATTCAAGCTTCGATCGACGAACTCAAGTGAACAGAATGTACATGGATTTCGCCACCAGTTTGACACTGGTGGACGATTGTGTGATCTGTGGCAGCCGTTACGTCCATTCAAATCCCGAGAGTAAATTTCGCCCCCACTTTTCGTTTGACTCGTTTCAGACCGGAAAAGGAAGTGCACAATCAAGCAAACGACCATCACTATGGCATCCATGAGCAGCGACGGCAACGGCGGCGGCGGGGTCGAGACCCTGGCGCTGGGCGATTTACTGAGCGACTTCGAGGTTAAGCAGCGTGGGCTGCTGCTCATGGCCATCGACAAGGCTGTGGACAAGGCGATGAAGAAACAGGGCGAGATGCTCGACGTCATCAAAGCGCAAGTCGAGACGCGCCACCGCGAGGCAGTGGACGACATTCGCGACGAAATGACGCGCACGCAGCCGTCGCTTCTGGAAAGCCTCATGAGTAAGACGTTGAGTGTCGAGAACAATGCGGGGCTAGCCCTTTGGATCAGTGATGAGGCCAAGAAGAGCCAGGCGCTCGAGTATATTTCCAAGCTACGCAACCACCTGCAGTCGGGCCAGGGCAACGCCTTTCGCAGCGACTTTGAAGCTCTACTTGTGGTCTATATGGAGTTCCTTAAAGTGCCGATGGTGCGCGGCTCGAGACTCAATAATCGTATCGAAGACTTTCCACGAAGCCCCTGTACCAGAAAGTTGACTTATACGACCAATTAGTTAATCTCGTCTACCGTGTACCTGGGGATGCCAAGGCGTGCGCTCCATTGGTAATGCGCGCTCGCATGATGCTAAGCCATTTTCGGAGAGCAAATCCCTGAGCTCTGTGGTCTGTTTTAGTGCTATCGGCGCAGCAATGCTAACTCTCGCGCTTGAGTTTGAAGTTTGCAAGCCCAAGACGTCTTCTTCGTCTCCATCACTTACTAGCGACGGCAACTTATCTTTGAATGGTAATTCCGGCGTAGATATGGCCATGCTGCAACAACTACTTCAAGCAGCTCGCGGGCATTGGAACCGATCAAACGCCCGTTCGACTTCTTATTCACCTAATGGGCCAACAATGGTATCAACGTCAACTCCACCATGCAACTCGCCCTCGCTATTTCTAGACAACCCAAAGTACTAATCCGAAACTTGTCCCTACCGCCCGGGGTTCCCGTAATGGCCGGTCTTATCTGGTTCTATTCCCCTCCAGGTTCTACTGGCTCCAGCCGCCCCACTTTTTACCGTCCTGTGGCCCTACAAGGTTTAAAGTGGGTTTGGGA